CCCTCATTTCAGTAAGTATTCAACATTCTAATTTTCCCAAACATCTCATGAAGCATTCTTTACAGTTGGTTTATTTACATCAGGCTCCAAGCAAGCCCCACACACTGCATTTGAGTGATGGGAATAACATATTCTGAAGACATGGGTGAGGGAATACCAATGTCAGGCAGGTGGGAGTGTGGGGGGAATTGTGAGGAATTCCCAAAGCCCAGACTAGAGCCCTTAGATCACCCGGGTGTGCGGGGATTTGTGTACTGTGTTATTACCGTTGGTGAGGGAGCCCTGGGGACACTGCAGGGCCATGTCCCCACACCAGGAGTGGGGGAGGCACAGTGGCTTCAGGTTTCTGAGATGCTCACGGGGCTCTGTGGGAGGCCAGAGCAGAGCCTAGCTCTCCCTGGGGAGCACCAAGGGGAGGAGTGGAGTGTCCGGGGGGAAGGAGCTGCCAGGCAAGGCTAGCAACTGTGCCCAGGCAGGAAGGCCAGGGACCTGCCTTGCCCAGGAGTGTGATGGGCTGGAGGTGGGTGTGAGGAGGGATGTGAGGAGGCCTCCCTGCAGGTACAGGAGTCACTGAAGGAGATCAAGAAGGTGGAGAGACTCAGATTAGCACAATAGGACAACTGCTCTGGTTTAGGCACGGAGCAGACTAGAGTGAAGTGAGGCCGCAGTCAGGGAGCCCTGTGTCTGTGTGCCCCCCGCCCCACCCCCCACTGTGGGGACCCTCACACTAAGGGGAGGAGAACTCCATGTGCCAAAGCCCACCATTTCTGGGAGAGTATTCCTCATTGACCCTGGTGTGGCTAAAACTAGAAACCACTCCTCATCCGGTCACTCTGGCCCAGAACAATGATTTTATATATATTCATTTATACTTAATTCATACATATAGTCTGTATCTTGGAAGCCCAGGTCTGAGGGACACTGAGTGACCTGAGAGGAGGGCACATGCCCAGGCCCCACAGAGCACTAAGCAACAGAGTGATGATGTGCCAGGGTGCTCGGGGACTGGAAGGGACAGAGGGTCCCCTGAGAGCAGAGCTCGGCTCTGTTTTGTTCTTCACTCCTTCCTCACTGCGTAGAAAATTAAAGAGTCCATAGGGGACATAATCGGTGTTCATAAATATATCACAAAAAACATTTTTATTATCAGAAGGAAAATGCCTCTCAAAGAAAAAAGAAAATTTCTTTAGCCATTAATGAGAGAGGTGGGTATTTTCCCGTGAATACCTGAGAGTGTCCGGTATGAATTTCTACACTTGACTCTTTGATTGCTCTGTGACATATGTTATATGACAATGTCAGGAAAAATTCAAGGAGACTGCATGATCTATGTTTCCCTTTTGTATTTAATTTTTCATTCCAAGCAAGAGACAGTATAGAAGGAGATTGAAAATCTGATTTCATATTTGATCCTAATGAAAAAAATAAATTGTAACTAAAACTGCTCATAGGAGTGCTATTATTTAATTACCACTAAAACCTTGGAATAGTATGTTAGTCTCACATAGCCAGGATCTACATTTAGGTCAAGTACTTCATTTTTGAAAGATTTCAGAAGGTGGTCCAGCATGTGCTGGGGGCCATGCTTGCTTTATTAAAACTTGAAAATCTTTCTTGCTTTTTCTATAAGTTTCTCATCCACTGGAGGCTTCCTCTGGCTGCCAGGTTGCAGAAACTTCTTCACGGTAGGGACGTTGCTGATTCTGGTTTTCAGGGCCTGCAATGCACAGGAGCACAGCCTCAGAGAGGAGCCAAAGACCAACCCTGTCATTAGCACAAGCC